GCTGCAAGCTGCAAAGTGGCATCACCGTGAGCTGCGACTGCATTGCCAGCTATGAGATTCCTTGCAGAAAATGCTCAGGGCTGCTGCTTCTTTTTTTTTTTTTTTCTGAAGCAAAGTTAATTTTAGAAAAGTCCCCGAGGCTACGCTGGCTCTGGAGCGCTAGTGTGTAAACAAGAGAGGAGGGTCCTCCTGCATTTACGGGATTACGATGCAAACGATGCGGTAAACAGGAGCACTAATAGAAACTGCCGCTACCCAAAGACCCTGCTTGCAGCTGTAAGGGATCGAAAGCCTCCTCCGCGGTGCCGGGCTACGTGCTGCAAATGAGGTGTTTCACCCAGCTAGTCACCTGAGACGACATCCTCTCCGTCAGCGCTGGTTCTATCGAGCGTCGGRGAACACCGCACGAGCACTGACCCTCGGCGGGTGGAAATGAGAGCACCTGCACGTASGGAACGGCCGAGACCGGCTGCTCCCGAGGGCAAACGACCCTACAGGCACCTCGGGACACGGCTGTGCGGCATCTCCTGGGTAGTGGCATCAACACGGGAGGCATCAGGGTCCACTGCTGCTCAGAGGGGCAGGGACACGTCGGAATCCCCTCTGCACGAGCAGAGACCCAACCATGACCTGAGAACATGAAGTGCTTCAGAAGGAAGCACTTTTCTAGTCACAATCTTGGCCATGACAGCTCGCCTGGCCAAAAAGGGAACTTCTATTTCACATACTCCCAGTATTGCTCTCCTACAACTTGAGGACCAGATTTTCTTCCTTTATGCTTTAAGCATGGAAAAGCAAGTATATGCTTAAACCTTGCTCTTATTTTTTCAATTTAATACCCAAGTCCAGCCCTACTTAAGCAAAGAATCCACAGATGGTATTTGCAAGTCCAGTGTAATTACCGCGGGGTTGAAAAACGAGTTCTGTGAGTTACGGTACATCATTGTTTTTCTTTTTTTCTTTTTTTTTTTTTTTTTAATGTTACAAAGAACAATGTGCCTTTCATTTCCTGCCGCGCCGTTAAGGTACTTGCAACTCAAAGCAGCAAGAATATATTAAAACTAAAAAGCACTTGGTTTGGGCACTCAGCATTTTTGTTTTTCAGATAAATGCCTCTGCCTTCTCAGAAACGCCGAGTTGGGCACCTCTCTGCAATCAGCTGGGGTGAGGAACGCGCTCCTGCTCACTGGAAACGGGACAACCAACCAACTTCTCCAAGGGGAATTTGCCAACCTGCAATTTCAGYGGCACTGCTAGCTGGGAGTCGGGAACCACAGCAACTCTTTGCCTTTCCCTAGGCTTAAAACCCTATGGAAGCAGAGTGGAACTGGAGTTTTAATACGTGACGGGTGTCTGAAGGCTGCAGAGCGCCCTGTTCTGCACACAGAAAGACTGAAAAGTTCTCCTGCCAACATCAAAGCAAGCATGCATGCAAAAAGAAAGCCTACGGAATGGTTGTGTGGAAGTACAGAGAGACAAAGAGAGAGAGAGAGAGGGGGAGAGAAAAAAAGAAAGAGAGAGGGGAGGGAAATCCCTAGGGAGAGCCCCCGGCAGCACCGAGTCAGGAGCTCATCTGCTCCCGGCCCAGAGCAGGCAAGCAGTCCACTACACCRGACCAGTCTTCTAGTAACCTCAATTCCCTGGAAACTACTTATAAAAAACTGCCACAAAACAATCAACCAACTACCACCAACAAAATCAGTGTCTTTAACCATTTTTTTAAGGTTTTTTTTTTTTTTTTTTTGGGGTGCATTGCAACACCAGCTCACGGTGCCAACTGACCCAAAGCTTTTACACGAGGCAACTACAAACGCGGGGAATTTTCCACTTGAGTATTCCACCCAGCTCGTCAGGAAAAACAGCCCTGATTTGTGGGGAATAGGAGGACACCCACGCTCGTGCCTGGCTGTGCCTGCAGTGCCTCTGCCAGCAGCTCTGCTGCGCTCGGGCCACGGCGCTAACGCGGCTGCTCCTGCCGCCGCCGTGGTGCCCGTGCCGGCCACATCCCGGCCCCTGCTCCGGGCCCGGAGCTGAACAAGCTGTTTGGATGTTTCCTCTTCAGCCTGGAGAAGAGAAGGCTGAAGGGGGAACCTGAGCAGTGTCTGTAAATACCTTAAGAGAGGGAGTGAGGAGAATGGGGCAACCTCTTTCCAGTGGTGGCCSTTGATAGAACTAGAGGAAACGGCCACAAACTGAAGCACCAAAAGTTCCACGAGAACTTAGGGAAAAACTTCTTAGCAGTGAGGGTGCCAGAGCCCTGGCACAGKCTGCCCAGAGAGGCTGCTTCTCTGCAATCTTCAGTCCTGCTTGGATGCAGCCTGTGCCCCSTGCTCTGGGTGACCCTGCATGTGCAGGGGGTTGGACTGGAGGATCTCTAGAGATCCCTTCCAACCTTCAGGATTCCATGATCCTATGAAGCTCCGGGAGCACGCAAGTATGCACGGATGACCCTGCCTTGCCCACGCGTCAGGCCTTGCCCGGCCCTACTGCTGCCTAGGGAAAATCCCCAAATCTTCAYGTTTCTGCCAATCCTTGCAAGCGCCAGCAGCTGCGCGACTGCCCGAGAGCCTGTTGGGTCCAAAGGCGGCCGAGGCACCAGCTGGAGCAGCTCCGAGACCCCCGAAAGCAGGGGGTGGCTCTGAGAAATAAAAGCTTCCTCCCCCTGCTCCGTGCACGTCCCTTCAGTGAAGGTTAGGCACACCAGTTTGCCTAAATAACACACACAATTCAAAACGATAAATTAAAACCTGTAGTAGGAGGCTGCCTTTTCCAGGGCTGTATAGTTGACCCTTTTGAACTTACATTACTCAAGGTATGCAAAATATATGTGTATAATAAATAGCTCTAGAATTTATGGAGTGGAACAGAAAGGATATTAACAGGCAAGTAGAGAGGCYGTATAACCCTCACAAGGCCTTTAAAGATTTATTTTTTTAAAATGAAGGAATGCATGCATGTAAAAGGTAGGACTTAATCGATAGCCTTCTTTGTGCCTTTCAGAAACGCATGCAAAACAATCCCAAACCTGCCCTCAACCTGGTCATTCTGCCGTTTGCGGCAGTGGGAATAAGATTATCCACAACACTATTTTCCCTCGATTTTTTTTTTAACTCCTCCCTGTGTGTGGGCTCATTCCCCTTCTCAGTAAAATCAATTACGAGGCTCCCGTGGCCTCCGGAGGGATTTGGATCGGGCCCTGCGCAAGCGGGTCCACGGCACGTGCAGAACAAGGCTGTTAATGTGACTGATGGCGCGCGGATCCCTGTCCCGTGGGCGCCGCAGTGGGGCTCCCGCTGCTCCTGCTCAGCGCACAGGAGCTGTGCCCGGGCTCATGGGCAGCTGCCTGCGAAAACACCCGCACGGCAGGCAGAGAGAAGGAAAACCCCCTCTGCCGCCTGCTCAAAAAGGACCTTTCAAAGCGTCACCAGCAAAGTGTCACCAGCAAAGTTCCCACAATTCACTAAAAGCTGGTTTTGCAAGGAAGACTGAGGCTGCAAACCCAGAGATGTTTCATTTYGGGGGCTCGTGCAGATTTTCCATCACTAAGCCCTGCCCTTGCTGGGCACCACCTTTTGGGGTGGCTGCTGAGCACGGGCAGCCTCGAGACTGCGGAGTGGCGGCGAGAGGCGATCTGTGGTTTGATGGTGCTGAAAGGACATTACCCAAACATGGAACAACAACACGCTCGGAGCCGAATAAATTCCAAATTGAAATATGACTTAATAAACACAGGCAACATATTCCGCACACCCACGAAAAAAATTATCAGAATTGGCAGAACAAAAATCACAGTTTAGTCAATTCTTCTCTTAACCTCCCAATCCTTTGGCTACAAATTAGAATTTCTGTGAACGGGGTTGATAAGAGAAACGAGGCTCTGTCTTTCAGAACCGACAAAAATGCTTCAAGGCGCTGCGTCTGGAGAGGAGCAGAGCAAAATCCCTCCYGGAGCCAAGTCGCTCGCGCTTCGGGAGAAGGAAAATGCAGGAGTCCCCCTAACACCAGCAGCAAACTCAGCTCTGCTGGCCCAGGAGAACCGGGGGGGTCCTCCCTGCTGCACCATGAGATGGGGGAGAAGCTGCTCCCTTGTACACAAGCCCGTCCTTCCCCACGCCATCCCCACAGAAAGCTGCTATTGTGGAATTACTGCTTTTCCAGGCTGTTTTACCGAGGAAGCCGCTGGCTCCCTAAAAGCTCCTGCTTCTGCTCTGCAGCCCTCCCAGCCCGGGGAACAGCAGCACTCCCCCAATTCACATCCCGTCGCTACTTCCCAAAAGGACAAACCGTGGAGGCAAAGCCGTGGCCGGCTCTCCCTGCCCTGCTTACCCTGGGCACCCACCACCCTTAAAGCACGTCCATAAAACCACAGGCAACACAAGGGCATCAGCGAGTGCCCGCCTGAGCGGCGGGTATGTTTTGAGGTGCGCAGTCCGACCCCAAAAGTGCACTTTTTGGTGCATAGGTAATATTTTTGCTTGCACGTGCCTGGCAGGCTAGCTCGCAGGGAGGACGGGTCTGCGGAAACGGATTCCAAAGTCGTTCTGTTCACTGGGACACACCACGATCCCGCACTCCGGAACGCTGGGTCCCCGTGCACRTCACCCATAAACCCCAACGACGTTAAAAGCACACAGAGAAACACGGGCAATGAAGAGCGCGTGCCGAGGGGCTCACGGCGCGGGGCTCAAAGCCTTTGCTACGGAGGAAGAAGGATAAGGGTTGCATACAGCGGGCTCTGCCTCGGCATCTCCCTGATCACAGCCATGTTTTAAAGGGGGGGAAAAAAAAATAGGTGTCTCTCCATGTCTGCAGAAATGCTACCTTGGTGTAGTGAGACGGCAGCATTTTAACTAGGAGGAGAGTACAAAATCTATTTGCAGCTGCCTCATGTCAGTTATTCTGAATAATCCTTTTATACTAGACATCAGGGGGGAAAAAAACCCTTGATAAATATGGGCTGTTTTAATATTCCAAAGCAGGAGCAGCAGGTAAGAACTTACCATTTTCTGGCTGGTCCTTAATATCAGCTTCACTTGGCTGGCTGGGACTTTCAGATTGACTTGAATCTGAAAAACATAAAATACAGCCAAAAATTACAGGGTCTGCTATGGAAAATAGATCAGAGGCGCCAGACTTCCTCAAAAGGCTGAGAGTACAAACTAAGGATGGGGCTGTTGCACGAGGACATGATAATGCAGAARTCCCGTGCAATAGGTAATATTTTTGCTGGAAAAAAAAAAAAAGGGAGGTGGGGGGGAATCTTGTTTATGGCACTGCCCAGGGTGCGTGGCCTCTGAATTAAAATAAGGCGTTGAGAAGCCCTCTTTTTAAAGAAGGCGTATTCAGACTGCCTTCCTACACGGCTTTGTATAATGCAGCCCCTGCGTTGTATACAAACCAGAGCCTTAATCCAACACATAGTAAAGTCCCAAAACACATTTAGGAGCGAGCAGAGCGAGGCAGCCGAGCGACGCTGCAGCGCCGGGCAGCTCGCGGTCCGCACCGTGCTGCAAATAGATAACTTTTAATAAAAATAATTTTTAATAAAAATAATTTTAATAAAATGTCTGACTCGTCTTTTATTTATTATCTAATCGCTTTATCTGCTAAAAAAAAAAAGTTTTTGCAGTGAAATGCAACTTAGGCAACGAAACCATGTGTCCCCGCATCAAACGCGCCTGCACTCGCGACAAGCCTGCGCGGCTTCACCTTGGCTTTGCAGAGCCGCGAATTACCTGTCTGCAATTTGCCCACGTTTCAGTGAGAAGTCAATGCAAGACCAAAAGGTCGCGACACCTGACGGTGATTAAATTGAAACCCTTACTTTTATTGCAACCAAGTGATAACACCATCCCTTCTTTTTCTTTGAGGTATTAATAGCACTGGGAGAAGCACTACTACTAGTGACCTTGGGTCAAGCAATGCTAATTTATTGCTTTAAAAAGGTTCCTTGCTTTTAAGCAAATGAAGATTTTAATTACCGCAGAGCACTATAAAGAAAATGCCTATTTTAAATATTCAATTTTTTTTTTTTTACCTGCTGACGGTATGCATTAGGTATCATTCAGAAGCTTAGAGGGCAATCTTGTATAAATTAAAAAGTACAAATAAAAAAAAAAATGGTCCCCAAACAGACTCGGATAAATTTCAGAATATAAACTGTCAAAAGATTCCACGGAGAAGGCTTCAGCCATGCTATTTCTATTAAAGATCAATGGAACTCTGCTAAAACATTGATGACGTTCCCAATGTCTCCGAAATCAGTTTGCTTTTACATTTATCATTTTAATAATTTCTCCAGTCAAAATAAATGAAAAAAAAAATCTTCCTTCTCCAATTTTATTTTAAATGTTGGTGTTGCGGCCTGTCTTTAATCAAAGCTCTAATCACTGCGAGCAGACAGTCTGCAGGGTAATAGGGAAGATGCTGCTGTATTCCGGACACCCGAATTTGGCAGCAAGTTTCTCCTTTGCAGAGCCACAGCGGTGGAAACGACAGTGCAAAACCCGCGTGCAATGCTCCCAGGCAAGGCGCAGCAGCAAACACGCAAAATCCGCATTCAACGCTCCAAGTCAACGCGCGGCGCGTTTCATTTTACAGGCCGTGCACGAAGCTCTCACTTATTTTGGGGGCCTTTGTTTTCCTCCGACAAACTACGGTTCAATCAGTGTTTGGCCTCGATGAGTGGAGCTAGGATGCCACAAAAAGACACCGATATTGGTAAAAGTGGCTGTGCGAATACGTGACTCGGGTCATGCTTTCCTTTAAAAATATCCGGGGAGGCAGCGAGAGGGCCGAGTGCGCAGTGGCACCCACCGGGGCCGGGCTCCGTCCTGGCACCCCGGCTCTCCGGCACCACCGGCAGCCGCTCCTGGCATGGGGAAAACAAAGTACTTTTGTTCGGCTCGAGGCTGCCCTCCCTGCACCAGCGCCGGGGCCAACGGGCGCCTCCGCCGAGCGCTGGCTCTGCCCGCCGCATCTTCACTTTCTGCTTTACGGCTCTGCAATTACRCTGCAATTTTTTATTACCCTTTTATTACTTAAATATATTACTCTGCAATTKTTCCCCTTATTTTTTTTTCTTTTTTTCTGCCACCCGTCCCTTCTGCTGGAATTAAACAGCGATTTAAGGAAAGGACAACAAAAGCTCCAAGCGAGCTCCTCGGCAGAGCGGCACGGGGCCGTGGAGAGGCAGGATTTACAGAAGTGCCCCTTGCGGCCGAAGGCTCCRGGGAACCCGCAGCGGGCAAGCGGCGGCCCAGCGTTGTCATGCAAGGGGGCACCTCATGGAAAGCCCCGATAAGGAGCCGGCGGGACGGCGCCTCGCCAAAACGTCGAGACGCGGGATTTCTGCTGCCCTGATTTCATTGAGACGCCGCGGAGGAGCCGGCGCGGATAAATGTGCCGCCACATGGCAAAGGGATTGGCAACGCCGGAGCCGCCGCGGCTTTGCTGCTTTGCCGAGGCTGGTGGGGGCTGTGGTTTGTGTTGCACGGGCACCAACTCCAAAATTCCCGTTTTTCGGAGCGCTTGGCAGTTTGCGGGCTCTGCTGCAAGGGGAGGGGGGCAAATCCATCCTGCTGAGTCAGGCAGCCAAACAGGTGACCAGAGGAATAAATTAATTTTTGCCCATACATAATTGATATAAATGGAAGATCGTTTTCATAAGCATTTGCATTAAATCAATAAAATCACTTACTATAGAGCGGCTTAACAATTCATTTGATTTTCTCTTTTCTATATATTTGATAGCCACTCTGCAAAACAGTATACACTTTATGCCTATTTTCTTTAGCAACAACACTGCCAGTTAAATTCTACCACCTGCAATAATTAGAGCCATTGGAAAACATACAAAACAAAATATACAGTAGATGCGAGCCCCTCTTGAATCCACGGCCYCCTGCGGCAACGGGTTTCATTGGTGCCTTAAGCTAAGGCTGGTAGGAAGCCAAGGAATCTGTATATTACAATAAAGTGCATGTTATTAAGGGGAAGGATTTAAATGATTTCAGATGGAGTTGGAAATATTAAGAGCGTGGARCCACTATTAAGATTGCTGATTTAAGAAAAAAAAAAAAAAAAACACCGAGGAATCTAGTTTTATGTTTAAGGAAGCTTAACCTTGAATAGCACAATGGCTCTTATTTGGGAGCTCTTTTGGTTGCAGAAAGTTCGCGCTTAGGATTTTTAACCCTAAACTAGCTAAAGTTGGCATCCGTAAAGGAGCTCGAGTTGCAGCCACCGGGCGGCAGATGCTCAACCGGGTCTGGCACCAGCAAGGACCTTGGAGAAACATACTCAAAAGCACCGGGGAAACTATTTTTTTTTCTCCCCTTGCATGAGCCCAGGGTGATTATGGGGTAAAAAAGGGCTGTTTTATTCTTTCGGAGCAGTGCTTGCAGGTGGGCTGAGCAGGGATCTCGTTCCAGGAGGGAGCGACGGGTGTTTGGGAAGAGGGAGGCTTCTCCGCCAGGAAGCCCGGCTTGGGACATTCCCGCGTGCCGGTGGCAACACAGAGCGGCTCTGCTCCCAGCCAAAAATCCCCGTGGCTCCGGGGCCAAGCGGCTCGGGGTGTTTTCTTGGATACTCCCGCTTTCTCCACAGCCGGCGTGTGCCAGCAGAGACCCAGCGGGACCGGCACATTGCCTGTGTCTCCAGCTGCCGGGTGCTTTTCCACATTAGGAATCTGTGCTTGGAGAGGCTGCGGTGCCCTCATGGAGGGATGGAGCCCTCCGGAAAAACGCACCCTTTAAATTCTCCATTTCTACTGAATTTCATAGGGGGAGAAATATAAATATTGAGGAATATATAACAAATTGATGTATTTTACTCAAGTGCCAGAGTCCTACTTGCAATAAAACATTTATATGCCTTGGGTTGCATTCATCCAATAATTTTTTCATCCATAATTTTGGGTATGGATTCTACCAAGGATTTATACATTTAAAAATAATAATAAATAAATAAATATAAAGCATGCTACGTTATGCATGACCCTATGTGTCAAACTCAAGGGATTTACAAGCAGAAACCAGGATGAAGACGGAGGGTTTTTTGCACTTAACCATCCCATCACTAGGCACTACAATATGAGCACATACGTAGGGCTTTGCGCGGGCCACAGCTACAGTTTATGGCTCAAAACCGGGGGGCTGCTGTGGCCCCCGATTCACTTTCGAGCCAACTCTTCCCGGCTGCCGGAGGGGCTCTGCTCTCGCCCGCCCACGTGGGCCCATGTGCTCCACGTTTGCCGTTTTATTCTGTTTTTTATCCCCCGTCTACAGCAGGGCGCTCATGAATACGCGGGAAAACGGTCGCCGTGCCAGCCTGTCTTTTTTTTTTTTCCCCCCTTTTCTCCTTTTTTTTCTCCACCCTTTTTCTTCCTCTCTCTCATAAGGCAAGGACTCTTAATTCCTGTACACTGGGAAGGAGATTATCTCTGATAATGGAAATGTAAATCAAAGCTTGCTGTTGTTTATGCCAGACAGACATTCGTGTGTTAAGTCTGTTTATCAGGCCACACTCTGTCTGCGCCAGGAAGTGGCCGGCCTTTGTACGGCGAGCGCCGTTCCCAGGAGTCCTTGCCACCAAACTTTCTGTGGTAAAAAAAAATAAATAAAACTAAATTGAGGGGAAAAAAAAAAAAAAAAAAGGAGAACAGTATGGTAAAAAACCTGCTTTCATTGTTGCTGTGGCTCCGAAGCCGCGCGAGGCCCTCTCCTCCTCGTGAGGAGATGGGCGGCCGGGCAGCATGGCCATGCTGGCGAGGCCGGGCGAGCGCAGGCTCTGCCCGTCCGTAGGCCTGTTTGTGGGCTCTCGGTGCCCCAAATGCCGCCACCCAGCGCTTCCCTCCTCCTCCTCGTGCTTCTCCTCAGGGCAAGAGGAGGAAGGCGGGCGCGGGCACCGCGACGCGCTCCCCAAATGGCGGCTCGCCTTGCCTCGCCTTTGTTCTCACATGCCCATGGCGCCGCTGCCGCCAGCACGGGGGACGCGGGCCTCGCTCCGCCGCCGGCGCGGGGGACACGGGCCTCGCTCCGCGCCCGCCCTTCGCGGCCCCTCGGAC